CTCAAGTTTGCACTTCATTCCATTTTCTACTCTGCAATATTTGTCGCATCTTTGATAAAATTATGAGTTGAAAAATTACCCATCATTATCTATTTTATTTTAATCAAGGCACTGAGTGCTACCAAGAGCACAATTCTAATAGCAAATAGATTTCTTCCCAATTTGAGTATGGCATGTAAAGCCTTCTTTAATTTTGCACTAAGAATCACAACTAATTAGAATGAAATTATTGTTTAATTGTTTTACCCCCCTTAGTGATTCAAGTCTCCATCATCGCATTCTTCTTGGAAAGCCATATTACCGTCTTTTATGCACTCTTTGAATTTTTGGGGCAACTAATTTTCAGAAGTCTTAACCTAAAGATGCTAAAAACATTAAATTTAAATACTTTTCTTTAATAGCACTTGAATTTTCCCTCATTAACTGAATCTATACAATAGTAATTTTCTTCAGTTACGCATTTTTAATCACAACTATATTATTAAATTAAGTATGAAATGAACACAGAAATTATTTGCAATAATTTAAAATTTACCCATCTCCTGAAATCTCATTCAAATCCAAGCACAGCTTTCCACTTTTAAGGCAAGATTTCTGAATTATTTATTCATTTTTCTCGTTAATAGTCATTGAAAAGCCTTCTTCAACATAGCAAAGATTGTCACAGCTTTATTAATTAATAATTGAAACAATAGTTACCCATCATTAGAATTAAGATTCTAATCATCGCACTCTTCTCCTCTTTCTATTATTCCGTTTCCACAAATTGGTGACATTGCTTATTATTCTGAGAATGAGTATATTCTTGTACAGATCGTTTTTTCAATTCCATTTTTAATGCAAGAATACCCTTATTCTACCTCGCAAAGCTCATTGCATCTATACAATATATAAATTTATGTTCAAAATCTTATTAAATGAAGCAGAATATAATTCAATTTTAAACATTTACCCATCTCCAGAAAGATTGTTTCCGTCATCACAAGCAAGGCTTTGCTAACCGCAGTACAAAGTGCATTACGATTATTTCCCTAAGGTCTTTGTGCATTAATACCCATCTTGAATTCGGCAAAAATTATCACAGCTATAAAAAGGTAAGAGGCTTAAGTCAATAATTGATTAATACCCTTGATTTTGAGTAGATTCGGCTCTCCAGTTATCACACTCCTCTCCAAGCTCTAATATTCCATTTGGATTGCATAAATTTCAACCAGCTATCAAGTAAGTATTTCCCAAAAATAGAAGAATTGATATTCTTGATTTGAGCAGGAGTTTGCTAGATGTTTACATAAAAATTTTAATTTTATGAGCTAGCTTGATATATAAAGTATTAAAAGTAAATGATTAATTATTAAGAAACTTTAATGGGACTTTTGTTAATTATGGCAAATATTTATAAATTTAAACTAAATGAAATAATTGTATAGATTAATTTTCACATACATATCAATTATTCATTCTCAAATATATTCGCTTTCAATGATGGATGGGGTTTTGGGGTTTTGGGGTTTTGGGG